ACACCTTAGTCGTATAACCCCCCTCCACCCACCCAAAATCAGCCTCTGAAGTTGTGGGCTGCATTTTCCTAAAAAAAAATCATCCCCACCAATAGCAAAAACAAGGCCACACACACTGTTAATTTCCCCTAGGAGGGAAACGTGAAGATGTAGTTCTGTGTGTATTAAACACACCCACACATGCATTTTATTGGTTTTATTTCAAACCAGTCCTAAAGCATAATTTATTGAAAAATCTCTCTTCTTCTAAAGCTCAATTACTAAATATTGCACCTTTTGTAACACTAAAGAACACACAATCAACAACAAATATGAAAATGAACCTTCATTTTTATAGATTATTCATTGTCTTGATTGTTTTCTGTGATCTGGGTTTTGTGATTTATCCTGTCAGTCTCTTCAACAGCCCCGCCCACTTTCACCTGATCCTCTCTCCCCAGGTGTTTCCCATTGTCTGCTCATTAGTGTCTCTTTCTGTCTACGTCGTCCCGTTTGGTCCTCAGAGTTTTTCTTCATTTTTGTAAGCATGTTCTCAGCTGCCATATCAGCATTTGCATTTTTTGTAAATTAATTAGTATCTTTACCTCTGCCGAGGAGGTAATGTTTTCGGTTGCGTCTGTCTGTCTGTCTGTCTGTCTGTCTGTCTGTCTGTCTGTCTGTCTGTGGACAACATAACTCAAAAACGTGTAGACGGATTGACATGACATTTACAACACATGTGCATACTGGCACACGTAACACACCATTAAATTTTGGTGATGTTTCGGATCATGATGCGGACACAGGATTATTTCTTTTAATTCGAGCGAATCAGCCAGAAGTTGCGAGCTCCCCCAGGCCTGCACAGAACTTAGGAACGTGTTAAAATAATTCAATTGAAAAAAGACAACTATTATAAAATAAATGTCCTCAATATCAGGATGAAGCTTTTCATGAGGTTAGAGGCATTAAATAAATCAATATTTTTAAGCTATTTACAGAGTGGCACATAAGCAGTGCGCAGGTACGCGTGCGCAGTCAAAAAAGAAAAAAGCGCACCAGATGGTATGTCATGAAGCTCCCTTGCGTACCTAAGATTGTACCTGGTTGTCTGTCACAACAACAGCTAGCAGGGCTCTAGAGTGCGACCAGTTTGGTCGCAAACACGACCTGATTTCTTAAAAAATAAATAAATAAAAAGAATCCAGCGGCACTGGTGTGAATAGATTGTTGTTCGGTGTGCCACAGCGGGACCC